AGAGTGACGGAGCACAAGCCAGAGTTCTTATAACTCCTGTAACGCACAGAAAAGGCTCTTCAGGGCAAGGGACAGAATAAGCAGGCACCGCACCTTCATTACTGATGTCCTGGGCCTTCTCTTCCCTATAGCTGCAGATCACACCAGCATCCTCACTGTGCCAGCAGTTGTGAATCCCACTGTCAGACTTGGTGCACTCCCCCAAAGCACGCTCTGAGCCACTGCACTCCACATTGTCCAAGTGGATGGGTCCATGCCCTTCCCCAAAATATGCCATTGTCCTGGCTTTTGCCGTGCCACTGAAATGAGATGGGATGGCCAATCTACTATGAACACAAAGCATGGGAACTCAGTATAGCAAAACATTCTTATGACAATGATTTATCTCTAGCCACATGCATTACTCCATTCCTGCAGTGGTCCCAGAGTTCCACAGATGCAATGCTCCAGGATAGAAGGGAATAGGGCAGCACTTTCTCCTTTATACACAGCAGTGCTCAAACAGAAGGAAAAGAACACAAATCTCTTCCCTGGAAGGGATGAATCAGAAGGAAATGACTCCTGTCTAGAGTTCCTTTATGGTGCACCTGCTGACCTCTTACCTGTATCCCAGCTGCCTACAAACCACCATGGCATCCCTGTCTGTCCAGCCATCATCGCAGACACTGCCCCACTGGCCATTCAGGAACACCTCTACCCGCCCTTCCTTTGTGCTCTCTCCATCCACCAGCCGCACAGGGGGCCCTGCAGGGGAATGGGCACAGTGAACATCACAAAGATAAATATGTTGAGTAAGAAGGCCAAACGCCACAGTAGTGACAAAGTGGTAGGAAACAACAACAGTTTTATTTATATAGCAATGTCCTACCCACCCCCCTTCCCCTCCTCCCTCCTACCTCCTAGACATGGTGCATCATAGTTAACTCAACACACAGTGTTGCATTCCAGAAGCTGAATGAAGATGGAAATAAACAAATGGCCCTAAGGGGAAGGAAAGATGACAAGTACAAAGCCAAGTAAAGGCAAGCTCACACACACCTTGGAAATATAATGAGATAAGTGGGGAGAGAGAACTCTACAACCTGGGAAAAACCAGAATGCTGCTTCTGCATAAATGGCAAAACCCAGCTGGAAGGCTAGGAAGTGCCTGTTGCAGGGAAAGTGATGGGGAATCAGGCCATGTCTAAGCAAGGAAGTTGTACCAACTCCACTAAGCTCAGCTACAAACCAATGCAATTAAAGAGAAGCAACTGCCATTTGTGGACTAGGGGGACCACCTGTCCCAAACTGGGTGGGACAGTCCTGCAATGGAAACCTTAAGTCCCAGTCCCAGGCTGCATGATTCCGTGACACCATTTGTCCCTGATTTGCAGCATCATGCAGGGAATGAACAACTTTGGTTTCCCCTTGCAGGCTGGCAGCATTCCAGCCTGCAAGGGGCTGCTGGGAGTGGGACACATGGGGCGCCACATGCATGTACATACCCGCACACATGCACATGGCTGGGAAAACAGCTCAGCAGCAGTGAAGAGCAACTCCCTGCAGGTAAGTCTATGTGGGGGAGGGGGGGGAAGATGGGGTGGCAGATCAAGGCCCCCACAGTGAGGAAGGAAGGGAGTGAGGCAGGGGATGGGGGCATGGACAGAGCCAGGACTGTGTGGAGTGGGACAGAGCCACGGGCAGCTCGTCCAGGGGTGTGGGGCATTTGAGGGGGGGCATTTCCCTGCCGCTGTACGCACTCTGCAGGGGGAGAGCATGGGGAGCATGTGCCCCCCCCTCTGATTTGTGCATGGGTGGATGCCAGCTGCTCACTGTGGGCTCAGGGCTCCCCGCCCTGCAGTCCTCCCCCTGAGAGCCCCTGTGCTGCCATGGCAAGGCACACCCCCGCCCATCTGGTAGCACTGGCGGCAGCAGTGGTGTGGAATTTTGCTTCCCATTGCTGCTGGGCCAGCAGGGGGCATGCAGCCAGTACAGGGCTCCCAGGGAAAGGGCAGCAGGGTGGGAAGCCCCAAGCCTGCAGCCCACATCCATCCCCACCCTATCCCACTTGGTTCTACTCCAGTGGTGCAGCTGGTGGAGTGGGTGGGGGGGTGGGCAGGTGTCCCACCATTACATTTTAAAAATGTGGTCACCCTATGGTGGACTCTGGTTCTGATCTAAGCAGCCCCTGATCTCCAAGAAGCTAGCATCCACTTGTCCCTGCAAGTGATTGTAACAGGGAACCCTAGCCCTGTAACAAGGAAGCAGGTTCGCCCCTTTAAGGCCAGAACTTTCTGGGCACAGAGGGCTGGTGAGGAAGGGGTTAAATGCTGAACCTGGACAGCTAGTCAGCTGACTGGAAGAGACAAGACTATAAGAACCCTGGGTTGAAGGGCAGTAGGAAGGCAGCAGGTGAAGGGGAAGTAGTGCCTCTGAGAGCTCCATGAAAAAGCTTGGGGAGCAGTCCATGGCAGGAAGGGGGAAGCTATGAAAGCGCCTGAGAGATGGCGGCTGCACCACAGCCCAGACTAGCTGATGGTGAGGAGCTGAAGCATGAAACAGGTTCACATAAGCTGACCTGCTGCTTTGCTACAGTTATTATTTTTTTGGTGTGATTATTGTATAATACTGGTGGTTTGGGTGAGGCTATTAGGGGATGGAGGAGGCCTCATTTTGGGGACCCACTATGGAGTGGGGAATCTAGCACCAGTGAGGGTGGAGCTTTTGGGGGGAGGGGGGCACAGACCCCAGTGCCAGTGAGGCACAGAGCAAGACAGGGCTGCGGAGAGCCCAAGTGCCAGTAACAGCGCAGTTTGGGATGACAAACCCTAGCACTTGAAGGATGATCTTAAAAAGGCCAGGGAGACCTGGTGCACAACTATATTTTGCGGGTGTTTTTTTGTTTTTGTTTAGACTGATAGGGTGCGGGTTTGGGGTTACACTCTGGTTTTGAACTTGTGGCCCCCTGGCTGTAGGGCCAGTGCCTGTGCCTCTGGGCCAGGCTCCAGAAGGGAGCAGAAAAGGGGGCCACGAGCCTCCAGGCACTGGAAGAAAAAGCTAGAGCCTCGGAGTCAAACCCTGTTTAGTGGGTTTGGATGGGGAGGCCTAGCTAGAGAAAAAAGGGGGTCATGCCATCCTAGGAGAGACCCCAACATACCCAATTTAATAGGTAGTCTCCCGCTTGATGGATAATTTCCATCAAGACATGGCAGATGAGATCAGGGCAGGACAGAAGAATTCCAAAGGCTCCAAGGGCGCCCCATGTAAGGCGCAGATGACCAGAAAGATGGCGCTAGGGCGGGTGACCTGTTACAGTAATGAACTGATTTAGCTAGATCAACATTCCTGTGGAAACAAGGCCTAAATATCCCACTGTTGAGCAATGGGATTCCAGATGGAGGGTCACCCTCCCATACTAACAGCTCCCCAGGACTCATTTTGGCAGATGCAGTTTCTTTTTATACACTGGAGTCACGGCCCATGGAATTCACTCTGATCTGGAAGACCAAACTGCATGAAGGGAAAGGGAAGCCAGCCCAACATGGTGTGGGAGGGGAAGATGTAGTGGAATCATGGGAGGGGCATGGCAGCAAGAGGGAACTGACCAGTGGCAGTGCTGAGCATGTGTTAATAGACACATGCTGTGGGCAGCAGCTGAAAAGGTTCTTGTTGTGCATCATGTTGAGCACTTGAAGACAGCAGCTCAGTGATCCAACTACAAGACAACTAGAACTCTTCCTAGCAGGTGCTTTCCTAAACCAGGAAGCAACAGAACCCCTTTTCTTGGAAGCAAACCTATTTGTGCAACAGCCCAGAGAGCAGGAAGAGCTCGGGTTCCTGCCTGGGCCCCCAACGAGGCATGGAAATTCAAGCTACTGCCCCCACCCTCCACAGTCAGAGGTAGAGATAGAGTAAGTTACCCAAGGTCCCATCCAAGATCTTGTTGTTCTCAGGAGAGCAGCGGATGCCTACATCCTCAGCATGTGAGCAGTCGTGTTGCCCCCAGTTGCTGTGAGGACAGTCCAGGAGGGACAGCTCTGTGCCTTTACAGCCCACATCATCCAGGAGAATAAAGCCTAGGCCAGCTGTATACTCCCCCTCACCAGCCAGGCAAGCAGGGCCACTAGGAAAAGGAATGAAACATGTCAATCAAAGTCCTCTTTCACTATTCTCCAGAATCCTGTGTGCTGACCCAAGGCCCAGATCCAACAGCAGCCATGCATCCTGAAGAACCTATAGAGCTAAGGAGGCTGAGGTGATTATGTCAAATTATTGGTGGAAAGTAACTTTCCTAACCCAGGATAGACCGACCATCACTGACACGACAGACAGTACAGGAAAAGCTAAATAGGGCTGGAAGGGACCTCACAAAATCATCTAGTTCAGCCCCCCTGTTCAAGGCAGGATCATCCCTGACTAAACCATCCCAGTCAAGTGTCTGTCCAACTTGCTCTTGAAAATTTTCAGAGATGTAGATTCCACAGTCTTTCTAGAGAGCCTGCTCCAATGCTTAAAAATGCCCTCACAGTGAGAAACTTCTTCCTAATCTCCAAACTAAATTTCCTGTGCTGCAGTTTCAGTCCATTGCTCCTAGTCCCATCCCCTAGAGCAGCAGTTCCCAATCTGTGGTATGGGTACCACCAGTGGTACACAAACAACCTGTCTAGTATGCATTAACAGATTTATTATAATTACTTTATATGAGAAAAATTTGCTGCTGATACTTAAACTTTAACTGAAAAAATTGCTGGTGATACTTTAAGGTTGTATCATTTTAAATTGGTGGTGCGCAATCTGTCAATGTTTGGGAAGCACTGCCCTAGAGCCACAGACAAAAGTCTATCTCCATCTTCTTTATGTATTTGAAAACTATTATCAAATCCCCTAACTCTTGGCTTCTCCAGACTAAACAGTCCTATTTTTTTTTAACCTTACATAACACTGAATTAAAGGGTGTGAGGGCAGGTGATCTGTGAACCATTTGTGTGTCCATTGTATCCTCTGATAAGTGGAAGTGACAGTGAAAAGTGGGACAGCTAACCTTTAAATGAAAGAACTGCTAAACGACTGTGGCTTAGCCTCTTCTTACTGTGGGATAGTGTGGACACACAAACCAGTTGCCAAGGATCAGTGTTCACTTAGTAAATTCCCCTGCCTCTGTTAACTCTGTGTAATTTGTTCATCTCTCCACACCACTACTTGCTTTGCAGTTCTTGCTAGGGCTGGCTCATAGACATGACACCAAGTGCAGAGGGTGAGGAGAGTGGCAGAGAGAAGCAGTTTTATTGTTTGAAAAAATTCAATGGCTGGTTTAAAATATCATATATTTCTATACTCTCTTATGCATTTTGTGCAGACAGGGATTGTTTCACCTAGCACTGAAATGGAACCATCTCTGGTAAACAGCCTACAGAACAGCCTAGTATAAAAAGGGCAGAATGATATATCCATTTGAAACTGCAAGACAGAAATCAGATTTCATTCTGCCAGCTGCCTAAGCTGGGCTCCTACAAGTACATCCCAATCGGTACACAAATGTCTAAATGAAACTTTAGAGGTCCCTGTTGGCCAGCACACTAGTTTAAAACTTTCCCCCAAAGACACTTCCCCTTGTATCTTGATGGAGCTTCATTCAGCCCTGGTTTAAAAGGAAATACTGTTTGCTGAATCTCTAACACCAACCCAGTTTTCCTGGGCAGTCCCCTTTTGCAGTACTGATACAGCTGAATGACAGCTTGAGTTCATACAGTTGGAGATTTAAGGACTTTGAAAACATTTCTATCTTAAAGGGGGAGGAATCCATGCAGGTGGCATCAGGCTTGTACCCTGCTCTCTGCATGAACCTAAAGATCTTTAAGCTGGAAGATACCAGAGGTACTAAGGACTCCACTTTCCCATGAAGGGTGATCACACAATAATTCGGGGTGGGCAAAATACAGTCCATGGGCCAGATCCAGCCTGCCAGGCCATTCTATTTGGCCCACAGAGCCCCCCCAAATTTAGAAAATTAATATTTATCTGCCCCTGGCTGCCTGTCAAAGATGATAGGAGACAGGGGCAGTAGGACCCAGGGGAAGCCATGGTAGGACCCTTTAACAGCAAGGCCTGCCAGGCCCTGCACCCACCCAGCCGGAAGCCCCTGTCTAGCAGAAGCTTCTGGCTTGGGACCGTGGGGCTGTTCATGCCTCCCTGTGCCAGAGTGAGAAATTCAGGTAAGAAGAAAAGGGGCAGCGGGCGGAGGACTGCGGGCGATCACTCCAGTCCTAGGGGTCACACCAGCTCCTGCTGAGTCCTGCCATCATGGCCATGCAGCTTGGAGCCACATGATACAGAATGGCTGGCAGGCGGGCAGGAAAGTGGAGAAAATAGTGGCAGGGGTGGGGGAGTGATGAGCCCATGCTGGTGTCCTGGGGCCAGTGCCGGTGGGGTCCAGAGCAGGCCAGCAGGAGTGTGGGGTGCAGGCTGGCAGGAGTCTATGGAGCTGGGCTGGGCTGTGCCAGCAGGGAGAGAGGAGAGCTGGCCTGACTCCACAGAGTCCCTGCTGGCCGGGACCCGACGCCCCTGCTTCCTTGCTCTGGGCCCTGCCGGCACTGGCCCCAGGACACTGGCGTGGGTCCTGCACTCCCACCTGGCTGTCACAGCACTCCCGCTCGCTCCCAGTCCCCTCTGCCCCAGCCCCGTGGAACAGGTGGGGACCAGTGCACAGAGCCTTGACCACACGTGCCCTGCGCTCGCTTATCTGGGCTGGACAGCAGCAGCATGGGACAAATTGCTGCTAGGCATGGGGGGAAAGTGGCCACTCCCCTTCCCACTGCCAGTGCTTCCAGGTGCAGCCACTTGGAGCCCACACACAGCTGTCCTGCATCTCCCCATAGCCACACCCTCCCCCATACACAGTCACACACCCTACAAATCCTATACCCACAAACGGGGCTGTCCTGGAGCGGGGGCGAATCAGGGTGACTGCCCTGGGCCACGCACTTTAGGGAGCCCCACAGAGCTGGGTGGAGCGGCCATGGAGACTCCGCTCCACCGCCGCTAGCTTTGCATCCAGCCATTTGCTACCCCCATCCTCTGCTGCTGCTGCCATTGGCAGTGGCAGCTTCTTCACATCCAGGGCACGCAAGATTGGGGTGTGGCCCCACACCCTGCTCGGGTCAGCTCTGCCCACACACAGCCCCACAAACCCCCCATATCCCCCTGACACATCTGCACACCCCACACATTATACAAGAGTAAGCTTGCATTTTGAGCTATTATGCAATCACTTCTACATATACAGCACAAACACACATTGAGGGCAATTTTTTTTACCAGGGCACGCAAGATTGGGGTGTGGCCCCACACCCTGCTCGGGTCAGCTCTGCCCACACACAGCCCCACAAACCCCCCATATCCCCCTGACACATCTGCACACCCCACACATTATACAAGAGTAAGCTTGCATTTTGAGCTATTATGCAATCACTTCTACATATACAGCACAAACACACACTGAGGGCAATTTTTTTTTAATTAATTAAAATATATTATTATGGGTGTTTGATTTTTTAATATATAATTTGTTTTGGGTTTTTTTTCCCCCCATTCTAAGATGGCAAACCTTCTTCCACAAAGGAGTATTTCTAGGGGCAAGGGGAGATACTTCCAGTGGCAAAGGTCAGAGGTTAGGAGCAGGACTTCCAGTCCCAAGATTGCAGCCGGGGGTGGGGCCCCTGTCAAGGGGCAGGGCTACCCATGCGGCCCTCAACAGCTTGCTAAAACTCGGTAAGCAGCCCTCCGCCCAAAATAATAGCCTGCCCCTGCAATAATCGGTCCTCTAACAAAGACCAGGCTGGAGAGAGCAAAGCTCAGCTTTCCCAGCAAGCAAACATGAAGCTGAGACCTGGACAACAGGGAATAGAGTCTCCTTGTAGAAATGCCATCATTTCAGTACCTGAAGCCAAGCTGCCTGCAAACCACCTGGGCATTGAGGTCTGTCCAGCCATCATCACACACGGTGCCCCAGTCTCCATTGTAATAAACCTCTACCCTTCCTTCACTGGGGGTGTTGCCTCCTGTCAGCCTGACAGTGCCTTCTGCAAGGGGTGGGGGAGGAAAGCAGTTAGCCTGGGAGCCGAGCTGTCCCTTCTCATTCTACATGCTGAAGTTTGCATACAGCCTACAGCATGCGTGCATTGGGGGGGAAGGGGGTTCAGGAGACAAAGACCCCACCACTTTTACACACTAGCTTCACAGACATGCCCACCTACAAATGAGAGTCTAGAGCCATGGCTACCAAACCATGGCTCAAGACCTGCGTGCGGCTTACTGGCACAGTACTTGCAGCTCTCTGGAAATTGGCCAAAGCCCCACCCACTTCTCCCCGAGGTGGCTCTGGGGGACAGCAAAGCCTGACACCTCCCACTGCTCCAGCTTTCCCTGCAGGGAGTGTGTCCTGAGCCCACCCTCCTACCTCCTTCTCTCCCTCTGGGACTGCCGGCTCAAGTGCCAGGCTGCCAGGTTGGAGGCTGCAGCCGCGCTGCTTACCTTGGGGTGTGCTCCCTGCAGGGAAAGCAGTGTGGGGGAGGAGGGGTTTGTCACCTCCACTCTAGGTTACTCAGCACCCCTCCCGCCCCAGACTCTCCAGCTCTTGAACTTCAGTGGAGGATCAGATGTGGCTCCCAGGGTGAGTCACTCTGGCCACCCCTGGCCTAGAGCTCACAGTGGTCTCTGCCTGCACCAATGCAAGGCAGCAGGGAAGCTATCTAGTCTGGTGTTGAATCCTTTTTGCCTGTGCCTTGCTCCCTGCCCCCAAACAGTGTGGCATGAAAGAGCTGCACACCCAGGGGTTGTGAGAAACCAGAGGAGGTAATATAGGCTACACTTGAGGAGAGGCTTGTGGAAAACGGGTTGGGATAGGCTATAAAGAGGTAGCATATGGGGAGGAGAGATGAGTCTGTACCTGTGAAGGGATCACAGGACACCCCCGCATCCTCAATGTGGTCACAATTTTGCTGTCCCCAGTCATTCTTCTTGCACTGGTCCAGTGAGAACTCATTCCCTGAGCACTCCACTTCATCCAGCAGGATTGGACCAGACCCCTGCCCATAGTGAGCCCATGACAAGGCTTTTGGAGTCCCACTGCAGATAACACACATATACACAGTAAGAAAAAGGTACACCTTCCCAGCCCCTGCCTCCTGTGGGACACACAGCCTGGTGCACACAGAGGTTGTCTTGCTCAAGGACCTGATTATAGCAAATACGAAGGCCAGAAGCCTAGTGTTTGCTATGTTAGTAATCTGCATTTTATTCCTCATGATCATGAAGGTGCCCATTCATAGACCCCTTAGTTTCATCAGTATTTCAAAAGCAGTTCTACAATTAGTTGCCAGTACATGATATCCAGTATGGATGATCCAGACACATGCAAAACTTTGGGAGGAAGAGATTTCAGTGGTCACATCTATATGAGATGTTGACTGCACAGGAGCCTCGCGCGGCAACAACTGTGCCATGACACTAGTGAACAGTAGCACTAGGCTACTGCACAGTAGTGTCACAAAAAAGATGTTAATCGGTGCTACTGCTCAGTAGGGCTGTGCGAAACAGCTTTGTTCGATTCAGTTTCAGATTCAGCCATTTTGGAGGGACAGTGATTTCATAGAGGGCATAGGCTATAATGTTAACTATAAGTGAACTATAAGTTAAACGCCTATAACTTTGTCATTTCTTGCCTGATTCAGATGAAAATTTCAGGAATGGTAGCCCCCTCTGAGGGCATGAAGCCTGCCACATTTCAAGGAGATAGGTGCAAGGTTTTTTGTTTTAACTGCACCTCAAACTGTTCAAACCAAAACTCGTGACGTGTGACTTTGTGCGTGTGTCAAGAGCAGGATGGAAACAGCAGGCATGGTAGCCACTTCTGAGGCCATGAAACATGCCAGGTTTCAAGGAGATCACCCAGGAACTGGATGAGGCCACATGCTCCAGGACCATGGTTGTCATGGGTGACATTAACTACCTAGACATCTTGTGGGAGGATCACGATCAAGCAAAATCCGAGCAGTTGCAAAGCTTCCTATCGTGCGTGGATGACCTCTACCTGACTCAAGAAGTCTACAGGCCAATGAGAGGTAAAGTGCTGCTCAACCTGGTACTGGCTACTGGGGATGACCGAATCGGTGACCCAGTGATCGATGGGAAGCTGGGTGACAGCGACCACGAGCTGATCACCTTTACCATCCACCATAAAGCTGGCAGCAACACAGAAGTCCTTGACTTCAGGAAAGCCGACTTTGACAAGCTCAGGAGGCTTGTCAGTGAGGCCCTAAGGGACCACGACCCCAGGGGGAGGGGAGTTCAGGAAGAGTGGTTGCTTCTCAAGGGAGTGATCCTCAATGCACAAGCTAATTCTATTCCATCTCAGAGGAAAGGCAGCAAGAGGGCACAGCAGCCCTGTCCCCGCCAGCTCCCCAGGGATCTAGCAGACCTCCTAAGGCTAAAAAAAAGGCCTACAAAGGATGGAGGATGGGATTCACCTCCAAGGAGGAATATTCTTCACTGGTCCGGTCCTGCAGGGAGCAAACCAAGAAAGCCAAGGCTGCAACTGAACTCCAACTAACATCAAATATCAAGGACAATAAAAAGTACTTTTTCAGATATGTGGGGAGCTGGAGAAAAAGCAAGGGCAACATTGGACCCCTGCTAAACCAGATGGGGCAACTGACGCCCAGGAGAAAGCCAACTTATTAAATGGGTACTTTGCGTCGGTCTTTCATCAGTCCCATGGGACACCCATGCCCTCTACAGGACAGGGAGGTCCAGGTGAGGGAGATCCCTTGCCCTCCATCAATGCAGACCTTGTAAAGGAACACCTTGAGAGGCTGGATATCTTCAAGTCAGCTGGCCCTGACA